GCTCAGGACTCCTTGGGTAAGCTTACACTTTTTCCTTTCCAGGTAGTGCAAGGCATCCCACCCTCGTCGCCAGTGTTGCGTCCTTGGCGGGAAAACAGACACGAGAAGCAGCTGGAGTTCTCAGTTTCTTTTATTCAGCGTTCAGCTTACAGGAAGATGGCTTCAGCCTCGCCCAAACGCCTCGCAGCCTCTTATATAGGCAACTCCCGGGTAAATGGGTTACTTTTCCCGCGCCAGCACCCGCGCATGCGCACGGCGCTGGCGACAGCCTGTCTGGTCCCGGGCAGCTTTGCACCTGCCCGGGACTGCCTGCAAACGCCCGAGCCGTTTGCAAAGGCTCGGGACATAACAACTACCACTGTACTTGAAGGAGCAGAAACATTCACTGCTAGTTTGTTATAGCATGTTGCATGAAACCATCCACTGTGATTTATTCAGTAAGTCAGATTTAAGCAAGCCATGAAATAATGCACAAGCTCAGTCAAGTTTATCCCTTAATTCTAATGAGGCAGAGATCTAGAAGGTTGAAAAGGAACACCAGAAAGAAGAACTATAATTTCTTCTCCTCTGCTTCTGCCACTAACAAAACAGTTTTACTCTACCTCACTGTAGGGCCAGCTCTACATATTTAAGAAAGACACTGCCTACCATAGGAATTAAAGAGCCTGAGGTACAATAGATTAAAGAATGTTAGCTTGATTTACTTTTTTTATAGATATTTTTTATCCTGACTTTATTAACTCAGTGCAAGGATACACATAATATTCCTTCTGCCTATTTTTCACACAGCAGCAACACGGTGAGGTGGGTTGGGCTGAGAGAGAGAGTGACTAGCCCATAGTCACCCAGCTGGCTTTCCTGCTTAAGGTGGGACTAAGTCACAGAGTCCTGGTTTCTAGGCTAACACTTTAACCAGTAGACCAATTTTTGTCTAATAATCACTTCCCTACCTGCCAACCACATTTCAGATATTATATAACAAAAAGATATTTTACAGAGAGACAACTGAGGCACAGAGTATAACGTATAACATAGCCCCATAAGTCAGTTTGATTTTAAAAAAAAGACTATAATGTAGAGTTCCTTATGATACAAAAAGAATAAGTAGTTTTGCAATTCTTCCAACTTCCCTTCAAGAAACCAATGCAATGAAAAAATTAGACTTTCATATTCAACATCTTTTTCTTTTAACTCTTGGTTTCATTATAATCACTCCTCTGCATTATCCTAGACAAAGTGGTTAATGATCTCATTCATTTTTATGAATCTAATTGTTTTCTGTGCCTGGTCTAGCTCAGGGGTAGGCAACCTTGGCTCTTTTATGACTTGTGGACTTCAACTCCCAGAATTCCTGAGCCAGCCATGCCATACTGGCTCAGGAATTCTGGGAGTTGAAGTCCACAAGTCATAAAAGCCAAGGTTGCCTACCCCTTTGTTTCCCATTTAATGAAATAAAACAGCCGTCCCCAAACTTTCTGGCTCCACAGACCGGCAGCAGTAGCAGCAGCAGCAGCAACAGCAGGGGAGAGGCGATGGTTTCATGCGCGCAACCTAATCCTAGCTTTGCCCACTTGCCCACCACTTGCGTGGACCAATTTCCAACAGGCCACAGACCAATAGCAGTCCGTGGACAAGGGGTTAGGGCAGTGTTTCTCAACCTTGACAATTTTAAGGCATGTGGACTTCAACTCCCAGAATTCCACAGCCAGCATTGCTGGCTGTGGACTTCTGGGAGTTGAAGTCCACATGCCTTAAAATTGTCAAGGTTGAGAAACACTGGGTTAGGGATTCCTGAAATAAAAGATTCGTAAGTCCTTCACTCCTCCTCGCAGCTATTCAGAAAGAAGAACTTATGGAAAGTGTAAGGGATCAAAATTCCAGGTTCTCTGGCTCATAGGATTACCATTACATTCTAGTACAATTCAAAACACTTATATACCTTTTCAGATTAAAGTTAATGGGTTTACCTCCTCCCAATTAAAAGATTACCACCATATTTGCTCCAAAATTCTGCTCCAGGAAAAAATAGGTGACAATTCATTGTTTTACTTTTTAAAATCAGCACTTTAAAAAAAAAGCATTTATTGAAATGCCTGAGAAGTTTTACCAAACAGAACTTCAGTTGCTTTTCCTACCGTCAGCAGTCAGTTATATTGCTCAATGACAAGAGCAGGAAAAATGAATTACACACATTGAAAACAAAATGCAAATGTCCAGAATTTCCGCAGAATTCAGGTTGACTAATTTAAAATTTGTAAAATATTAATATAATTATTCCACTTTATTATAAATATATTTATCTTATAAGCAAAGAACACAGTTTGTTTTAAAAAGAGGAATTTAGTTTGACCTTAACTACTAACAGATACTTTTGTTTCACACATTTTCAGTAAAAGCAGAAGATCCATGGTAGTATACTATATTGAAAACTGAGTAAATCTTACAATACTTTTGTTTGCTCTAAAGAAGAGAAACAAGTTAACTAAACAATAAGTGGTCACAGATTTAATATTAAATGTCTATTTTAATAGCAAGCAAATATCACTCACCCAAGGGATTTGATTACTAACCCCCAATCAATATAATTCAGAAGAATAGCAAATCTTCAAGGCAAAAAGCAGTATGAAAGAGTTCAAGTAAAAATAATTAACAACTTGATTTAATTTATTTAAATCTTAAAGTAGGGTTTGTCATTCACTATAGCAAGGGTACCTAGTCTTTTTAAGAAGCACTATTATGGGCTGTTTAATGCTATACTAAGGGTCATACTACCAAAAGTAGACCAAATCAATACTTTTTAGTTATGGGAATAGGATTACTCCCAGCATAATTAATAATTTCCTCTTTTATCACATGAAGAATTACAGATTGTTGCTATTTTTGGAGGACCTTTGAAAAATGAACCCAGACTTTTAAGGATACAAATGTTATTTTGGGACAACACATTATATGCCTCTGCCACAGAGTTAGTTGATGGATCAAAGCTGGATTTTTATTATTGCTAATTTGTATGGTGGGTAACTGTTACTAGTTTTCATTTGTACGGCTTCCTCTAAGATCTCAGTACTGACTTCATCTGTTTGACAGTTTTATTTAATCTGTTATCAGTTGACCTGGAAAACAAGTCTGATCAAAAAAGACAAATTTACTGTAATAAATTAAGCCCACCCAAGGAAAATTCTCAATCCAAATGAACTCACAGGTTAAATTGACCCTGCACAAAGTCTAAAGTTGGAAGACTTTGGTTAGATATTGCTGAACTAAAATTTTCAGCATCCTTCATAATTGGCCAGGATGCCTGAGAGTTGCAGTTCAGCAACATAAGAAAATCCACAGAATCTTTTTCTGCTGGCCAGCATTATTTCTCCTGTGGGTTTTTTGCCTTCCTATTTTCATCTCCTGCAGATTATCTGCAGTCACATGGTCAGAACTTAATCTCAGATCATGTGAAATGTAAAAGAAATGCATGTTGGTAGCACCTACTAAGTAACTTCCCCAGCACCATCCTTCCTATGGCGCGGCCTTTGCTTTTATGTAGGACTGGAGTGTGTACACAATAGCAGGCCAAAATATGATTTGCTTCCTTGTGTTTTATCGCACATGTGAATTCAACTACTGTAGCATATAAACAATCCTTTCTGGTTAAATATACTGGGTGGATTCAACAAATTGTAGTTTCTTTAATAAATCATGATTATATAAACCATAGCTTTGCATGTGTAAAAAAAATGCAAATTCACAAAATGACCTGAACACCTCTTCTTCTATAAATTAAGCCATGCTTGTAATAATCCTAACTTACTTCCTGCTTCCAGTGAACAGAGCCACAACATCCATTTCAACACTAAGCAACTGGTTCATTCCATGAGACAAGCAGTACTCAGTGCACCAGAAAATGGCTAATTCTGCATCCTAGCAAGTATAACTGTCACATATAACTTTATCCTTAGAAAACAAGACAACAAGCCTAGGAATTTGACAGTGCAAAAGGCCTTCACAGAAGGTTAAAATATCTGGGCCTCTGCAAAGCCTGGCACACATACTGAACTAACAATATATTTTGGCAATGCAGTCAATGAGAAGCTGTCCTTGTGCCAGTGACCAGAGCTGGACAACCAGCCGTATAATACCATCCCCAGCTTAAGAACAGGTAACTTACACAAGAATTATGCACTTGATGAGAAGCACAGGCAAACTTGTCTTACAAGCTAGATGCATTTTTTTTTTGCAAATGGCTCAGCAGTTTAAAAATGGAAACTATAAAATGGTTAGTTGCACCACATTTTAACAAAACGCTTGCTCCTTATGCTCTAAAGGACCTTTAAAAGAAAAGATGCTCTAACTTGTGTGTGACCTTCAGCAGTTGCAAGACATTCAATGTCAGTATTAGAGATAAAATAAAGTAGGAACCTAAGCTCATGATGTGCCTAACCCTTTCATGACATCTCAGTGCAGCTATGTTAGCCAGGCTCATAGTTTAGTGACAAGACTACATTTACCAGATAAAATCTAAGCGTCACAAGGAGGGAAATCAAATAGGAGGAAGCTGCTGATTCTATTTATGTTCTTCAGGCATGGAAATAAATGGGTGGCACTCCTCAAGCTTCTGAAGGCTACCAAGGCATTACCTTGCCACTCCTTCTCCAACTACTTGATTAAGTTTGTTCCTAAGGGGACTAGACTACTACAACCAGATTCCTCTTCTCATCAACTCAGAAACACAGCAGGTGGTTGGTCGCCCCCTAGGACTTGCGTGTCTTGCAGGTTGTACCGCACACCTTCTGGTGCTAAGAAGCGTTGGTGTTCATTCAGAATTGGCCTGAATGCCTACCTTTAGCCCACTGCGTTTCCTCTTCCCGCACCTTCTATATTCACTTTTCCAGCAAGTTTTTAAAATCTACCAGGCTACAACCCCTTTGCCATTTTTACACGGAGAAATCAACGAACAGATAGATACGACCCTTCATCTTGCTTCTATCTAGGAAAAGGTACAAAATGACTCTATAGAGGTATATCCAGCTAGATTTGGAGGGGACTGAACGCCTTTCTCTCTCTGGGTCAATGAATTCCCGATGTCGGACGTTGTGTAAGTTTACCCAGAAATAAAGTCCGCAAGAGTCAATGGGAATTTCCAATGAGAGCAGCCAGGTTCGTCTTTCTCCCGGATCACCCTCCAGATCCTCCGGGTGGGAGATCCAGTGAGGGGGGGCGATACTCACCGCCTTCAGCTGCTCCAGCCGGTCCTTCATTGTGGTCGGGTGCGGCTCCTCTCCCTCGGCCAAGCAGCGAACCCAGGAGACCTGTGCACGGGGAGGGCTCCTCCAGGAAGTGGAATCCCAGCGCGAAGCCCAAAGCGAAGCTTCCTCCTCTTTCGCCTCCTTTGCTCACTCTCTAGGAGGGGCGTCCAAGTTGCACCAGGGCGGGAGAGAGAGCATACATGCCGGCATCCCCAGCCCACCCCGCACAATCTCAATCTGGCTCTCGCTCCCCCAGCGAGCCTGATCCTCCGGCGCTGAGCTGGCTGCAGCTGCTAATCCTCGGTGACAGCCGCGGAGGGAAAGAAAAGGGGGAGGGGGACGGGAGAGCGGAGGCTCCGCCCCCTTTACCTGGGCAGAAAGCTCTCTTAAAGAGACATCGGCCCGGACAAGCGGCTCTGTTAACGAGGAGTCGTGGCTTCGCCCGGGAGAATGTTGACTACACGCTTTTATGACTCCCGCGACTTCCTCTTGTTCTAGGTTGGATTGTTTTATAAGCAGTAACAAGCCGAACGGCAAGTCCCTGAAGTCACACCGTGACCAGGTGAGGACGGCTGAACATCCGCGAGTGCGGTTTGGCTTCGTTGACTTTTAGCGGAAGGAAAACAAACAAACAAAAAAAACCTTGCAGGAACAAGCCAAAAGGTGAGTATCTGGAAGTTTTTAAAAGAGAACCCGTCTTGGGAAATAGGCCTAAAGATCGGAAGACAGAAATGGGTCAAGAGAAGAGAGAACGCCACTGTTTCCCGCAGGCTTTTGAACAACCAGGGATGTAATAATTTCCGGAGCCCAAGATAAGAAGAATTGCACCAGCTGCCTTTCATGCTGAGGTCTGTCCAGGCCAATAATTCTCTCTGCAATAATTAAGAAATTTGCTAGAATGGAGATACAGGTAGCCCTTGATTTACAACAGTTCATTTTAGTGACGTTCAAAGTTACAACAGCACTGAAAAAAAAAGTGACTTATGGCCATTTTTCACACTTACAACCATTGCAGCATCCTCATGCGTACGTGATCAAAATTCAGATGCTAGACCATAGACCAGTGGTTCTCAACCTGTGGGTCAGGACCCCATTTGGGGTCGAACGCCATTTCACGGGGGTCGCCAAACAAGGCTGTCCACCATTTTTTCCCCCTTTTCTTTGGCCACGCCCCTGGCACCCGGTGATGTATAAGTGGTTGGGGGTCACCACAACATGGGGAACTGTATTATGGGGTCGCGGCATTAGAAAGGTTGAGAACCACTGCCATAGACTGATAGTTATGACTCTTGCAGTGTCCTGGGGTCATGTGATCACTTTTTGTGACCTTCTGACAAGCAAAGTCAATGGGGGAAACCAGATTCACTTAACAACCATATTACTAACTTAACAGTGGTGATTCACTTAACAAGCGTGGCAAGAAAGGTCATAAAATGGGGAAAAATTCACTTAGCAAATGTCTCGTTTAATAACGTAAATTGAGGACTACCTGTAGTAAATCTGCTCTTTGGCTGAGAGATGTTATGGGAGAGCAAAGAAGCAGCCATCTAGAAGAGGAAGAGTGAATAATCCTGTATATAAATACATAGTAAAATTATCCAGCTTACAAACTTTTCATGAAAATCTGGGTGAGTAGCAAAACTGTATTTAAGTATACTAAAACTACATACATCATATACAATATATCAAATTGAACTATGGGTAATTTTGTATAGGAAAATATTTTTAAAAAGAGGGAGAATGGGACACCAGCCCATTAACCTTTCCCCTCCCCCCCCCCGAGTTTAAAACTGAATCCTGTCCTGGAATTTCTCCTTGCTTAAAGTGGGCATCTGCAGCCAGATGGAGAGGGTTATCGTGAGATGGAATACTGAATTTGCAAGATAATTTATCTCCCCCACCACCACATCAAAAAAATATATTAAATTCAGTCTTATGAAATCTTTGAATCTCACTCAGAATTCTGCAGTCATTGGTGGAGAAATTTCTCCTATATCAGGGGTAGGCAACCTTGGCTCTTTTATGACTCGTGGACTTCAACTCCCAGAATTCCTGAGCCAGCATGGCTAAGCTTGGAAACTCTCCCTTTCCCCTCAGCATGGCTGGCTCAGGAATTCTGGGAGTTGAAGTCCATGAGTCGTAAAAGAGCCAAGGTTGCCTACAGAATGATCTTTATTTGAAAACCTCCAGTGATGGAACATCCACAACTCCAGGAAGCAAGCTATTCCGTTGTTTAATTGTTCTCACTGTCCGAAAATTTCTCCTTACTTCTAGGTAGGATCTCTCATTGACAAACTTTCACATATTACTTCTTGTCCTGCCTCTGGTGCTTTGGAGAATAAGTCAATCCCCTCTTCTCTGTGACAGTTGAGTAGTTTTAAACTGTTTGAATTACATAAAGCTTCTTGATAGTTTTTGCTTCCTTTTTCAGTATTATACATTTGGTATTTATCCCTTTGTTTATTTATTTCATCATAAGATATTGTATCATTTATAAGATATAAGAAAAATTGTGTCCCACTTAAAGCACTGTGGGTTCCCTCATGAAAAGAAACACAGTGTTACTTATAAAATATAAGACATTTATTCTAGGCAGCGGGCCGTTTCTGCTGTGGTGCCCATATTATGGAATTTTCTGTCCCCAGAAATAAAGTTGGCCTCCCAACCTGATTATGCCTCAGGGGACAGGTGGGCACTCCTGAGGTGACTCCCTTATTAATATTGTTATCATTAAATTATTAAATTCTTTCCATTTATTGTTTTCTTCTGTTCTAGCTCTGCTTTTATAATTTCTAATTCTTTGCAGTAATTAGTATATAATGGTTTTAACTAATGGTTGTCATATTTATTTACTGTTTTTATTGGATTGTTGTATGCTGTCCAAAGTCTCTTTCTGTGAGGTGGATGGCCATATAAATTTGAGTAATAAATAAATTTGAAAGTAATAATATCCAAGCCATTTTTTGCCATTTAGTTTTTAGTAAAGACAATCAAATAAAGTTGCCTTCAACTTCATGACATTCTTTTTTTTTTTTTTTTTTTTTTGTTAGCGGCTGCAGCAATGAATGAGGACCCCAGTGTCCATTCTCACCAGTGGAAAGGTTATGGAAAACCCATAAGCTGGGATTCAGTGTTCAGGGTATCAAACAGTATGCAACAAAAATTCTTGATGACATGCTACACTAAGCATCTCACTTAATTTGTAAGAGCACAGTTGCCACCATCTTGCCATCAACTCTTTAATTGTCACAGCTCTTTGATTAAAGTCCGCCATTTGTTGGTTTCTATTTCAATCAAATTGGCTTCCATTTCCAGTTATCAAAATGTGAAGGCCATACATTCCAAAGCTTAACTATGCTCTATATGTACAGTATATGAAAGATTATTTCTTTTTGTCTGTCTCAAATCTGCCATTATTTAACTTGAAGAGGAGAATTAGAATAAGACTAATTGTTCCACCCATCTTTGGTCTCTACTGTTTGTGATTCAAGTATGGAGAATTTTGAACTGCAGAAAAAAAATGGTTGCATTACTTTTTCTGAATTTTTGAGAACCATGAAAAATTAAAATTCTAAATGTCAGTCAGACACTCGGAGGATAGAGGCGATTCTCTGGTGCAAACTAATGGAGAAATTAATGTTCTCCCTCATCATGTGTCAAATATACACTTGCTAGAACATATTGTTGGTTAACAAATTGCAATACTCAGGGCAAAATTGTCTTGCTGCTCGCCATCATTTACAATGTGGGATTGCAAACCCTAGTGACCTACCCATACCTCTTGATCTATGAAATTTCTGCTTGATATTTAGAGTCATTGGAGTCCCAAGGTTAAAATCTGCTTTCTCTCACAACTGGTTAGACTTAATCCCATGGTATAGTAAGAACCTCACAATTCAGGACTGCAATCTCCAAAGGCAGGCTGGTTGGACATAAAATGTAGGGTACCTACATTTCTTAAAAGCTGAAAATGTTTTGCTTTATAACAAATGCTCGTTCGGGGCTTTGTTGGATAGATGGCACAGAGATATGTTCATTACCTAGGTGATAAGAGATGTGGTTCCCAATGGCTGTGTATGTTTTAGTCATGCACATTGCCTAATATATTTATTTGTTATATTTTTAATCTGCCTTTATTATTTTTATAAATAAGGCAGCAAACATACATAATACTCTTTCTTCCTCCTATTTTTTTCCTAAAAGAAGTTGTCTCATGACACAATCTTTCCTTGAGTAAAATCCACCAGCAACACTAAAGGTACTGATAGCTATCTGTATAAAATACAAGTAATCCTTGACATACAACCATTCATTTAGTGACTGTTCAAAGTTACAATGGCACTGAAAAAAGTGACTTACGACCATTTGTCACATTTATGACCATTGTAGCAATCCCTATAGTTACATGATTTATAATTGGATGCTTGACAATTGACTCAGATTTATGACGGTTGCAATGTCCTGGAGTCATGTGATCTCCTTCTGCGACCTTCTGACAAGCAAAGTCAATGGGGAAACCAGATTCACTTAACAACTTTGTTATGAATTAGGAACTGCAGTGATTCACTTAACAAATGTGGTAAGAAAAGTCGTGAAATGGAGCAAACTCACTTAACTAATTTCTCAGTTAACAACATAAATTTTGAGCTCAATTGTGGCCGTATGTTGAGGACTACTGGTATTCATTGGTTAGTTAAACTATTGTATGAATATGAAGTGGGACTATGTGATCTATCAAGGATTCTCTTAATTCTTCAAAGCTAAAGTTTTCTCTGAATAAAGTTATCTAAATGACATCTAATTTAAAATTTTACCTCTTAAAAGCCGATTCTCATGTTTGTGTTAAGTCACTGATATTCATGATTATGTTTCGGTGGTTAGAAGAAAAGCAGTGTGGCATAGGGTTGATGTAGAACTGGCATCATATTCGAATTGTTCCCCACTCATGAAAGTTCACTGGTTAACTTTGCACCATTCACTCACTCTCCCAACCCAACTAATCACCCAGGACTGTTGTTTTGGAGATAGAGAAATGACAACAGATGGCAAAAAATACACGAGTACTCAACTGGCAATAGGAGCTGGAGCAGCCAGTGAGAAAATGGGTATTAATTCTTCCCTTTCTAGGATTCAACAAAAGATATGAATAAGGTCTGTTTATAGCTGGAACTAGAAATGTGTGCTAAAAGTAGGAAAAAAAATATAAGAAACGGGTCTCTGCAGAATCACATGAATTCTTTTAAAAATGTAATGGATTGAGAATAGAATTCTCTTGGAAAGTTTATAATTCCACAGATGTGTCAAAGACCTCCAATTACCTTCTTCCAAGAAAAAATAATTCTGGGTAAGTGGTAGCATCTCTGAAAATTGCCACAGCTAGAAATGGTATACTGCACATCACCATCTTGCTCGGCTCCTTTAAAATTACAGGTAATCCTCAAGCTATGACCACAACTAAGCCCAACATTTCTGTTGCTAAGTGAAACATTTGTTAAGTGGACTTTGCCCCATTTTACAACCTTTCTTGTTACCATTGTTAAGTGATTCACTGCAATTAAATTAGTGACTGTTGTGATTCCGTGCCAGCCGGTGCTCCCAACAGCTGAGTCTGAGGAATCTGAGAAGGAGGTGGAGGAGGCATTTGAAGGGTCATCAGGGGCAGAGGGAGACTCTGATGAATTACAAGACTCACGGTTTGATGCAGAGCCTGGGCCCTCCAGTCGTGTTCCTGATGAAGCTCTGCTGTGTGAGGAGAATGAGTCAGACTCGGAGGACTCACACCTGATGGACTTGCTAATTGATGCTCGCACACATCGTCAATTAGCAAGAGTAAATCAGCAGCAGTCAATACGGCAACTCCAGAGTAAAAGGAGAAGGCAATGAGAGGCAACACCTTGAGACTGCTATATAAAAAGAGGAGGTGTGGGCGGTGCTGGTTGCTGAAGGCAACCGTTTGCAAAGTGCTTCTTGGAATCCTGGTCTGTTCGTCTTGCTTGTGACTACTCTTCTGTTTGCATCGTGTTTCCTGTGGATTATTTCCTTCCTTTGGACTTGAGTTTGCTGTTTGTGTTTTGGACTATTTGACAGGTTTGTCACCCATATTAAAAGGGGTTTGTTTTGTTTTAAAGTCTCCAGCCTATTGTATCAACAGGGGTTTGGTCTTTGTGCCTTTAACAAGGACGGCAATAGGCTGGGATAGAACAGTGACATGGTTGTTAAGTAAATCTGGCTTCCCCATTGACTTTGCTTGTCAGAAGGTTGCAAAAGGGGATCATGTGACTCCAGGAGATGCTGCAACCGTCATAAATATGAGTCAGTTGCCAAGCGTCTGAATTTTGATCAGATGACCATGGGGATGCTGCAATGGTCGTGTAAAAAATGGTCATAAGTCACTTTTTTTTCAGTGCCATTGTAACTATGAATGGTCACTAAATGAACTGTTGTAAATCGAGGACTATCTGTATACCCTACTTGAAAAGCATTTTCCTTAAAGAAAAGTGTGTTGTCTTCTGTGTTCTCCCAGCAAATATTTTCCAATTTGTGTTCCATAGTACCATCTTTTCTTTTCAGGAATTAGAAAAGACCTCCCTAGCTTTGAAAAATGAAAACCTAAGAGGATATCTAAAATCTTTCCCCCACCGCAAACACTGCATAAAGAAAAAAAATCCGTTGTATTAGAAGGCACTACCTACTTGGGAATCAAGACTGATCCTTGGAATCCTGAAGATCAGCATTCCATAGCTAGCTGACAAATAGACTTTGTACAGTTGTGGGTAGAAAAGCCATTTTAGCTGTCTGAGATCCTAACCATTTCCCTGCCAATCACCACCGATAGCCCTCTGAAATGGTACAGCTGTGCTTTTCCCTTTCCCTTTTATAGGACTTATTAAACATAAATATGTTTTTAGCATTTGGACAGGATCAGAGACTTAACATTCCAGTACATCATGCGGTAGCCTCACAAGACAGGCTCATGTTGTCTCCCTAGGGCTGGGAGATAAGCAACAGTGGCACATTTGTGCTTAAATATTCCTTCCCGCTTATGTACCACACAGACTCTTTCAAGAATAATTCAGCCTTCCAAATGCCTGCATGACACAAACAACTTATCCAGTTGGATTTTTTTAGAAAAAATACTAAGAAAAAATGTGGTAATTCTAGACCTATCTATCCACTTATTATTATACTTGTGCCATATCTTTCTTGGGGAAACTTGAGGGTACATGGCCTAGAGTTACATGATCCTGGCTGGATTTCCTTTTAATGGCTTCCTTAGTAAATAATGATGATGATGATGATGATGGAAGGGACCTTACAGGTCATCTAGTCCAACCCCCTACTCAGGCATGAAACCCTATATCATTTCAGACAAATGGCTGTCCAGTCTCTTCTTAAAAATTTCTAGTGTTGGAGCATTCACAGCTTCTGGAGGCAGGTTGTTCCACTGATTAATTGTTCTGTCAGAAAATTCCTCCTTAGTTCTAGGTTGCTTCTCTCCTGGATTAGTTTCCATCCGTTGCTTCTTGTCCTGCCTTCAGGCGCCTTGGAAAATAGCTTGACTCCCTCTTCTTTGGGGCAGCCCCTGAGATATTAGAATACTGCTATCATGTCTCCCCTTGTCCTTCTCTTCATTAAACTAGATGTACCCAATTCCAGAACCATTCCTTATATGTTTTAGCCTCCAGTCCCCTGATCACCTTTGTTGCTCTTCTCTGTACTCTTTCTAGAGTCTCAATATCTTTTTTACATCGTGGTGACCAAAACTGGATGCAATATTCCAAGTGTGGCCTTACCAAGGCATTGTAAAGTGGTATTAACACTTTGCGTGATTTTGATTCTATCCCTCTGTAAATGCAGCCCAGCACTGTGTTGGCCTTTTTGGCAGCTGCCGCACACTGCTGACCCATATTTAAGTGATTGTCCACTAAGACTCCGAGGTCCCTCTCACAGTTACTACTATTGAGCAAGGTACCCCCTATACTATACCTGTAGGTTTGGTTTTTCTTGCCTAAATGTAGAACCTTACTTTTTTCACTATTGAATTCATTTTGTTAGATAGCACTCATTGTTCAAGTCTGTCCAGATCCTCCTATGTCCTAAGCCTGTCTTCTGGAGTGTTGGCTATTCCTGTCAACTTGGTGTCGTCTGCAAATCTGATGATTTCCCCATCTATCCCCTAGTCCAAATCGTTGATGAAGATGTTGAAGAGCACTGCGCCCAGAACAGAGCCCTGGGGCACCCCACTACACACTTCCCTCCATGTAGATGCGGTTCCATTGAGGACCACACTCTGAGTACGGCCGGTCAGCCAGCTACGGATCCATCTGGTGGTGATGCTGTCTAACCCACATTTTTCTATCTTATCAAGTAGAAGGTTGTGATCTACTTTATCAAATGCCTTACTGAAGTCCAAGTAAATTATATCCACAGCATTCCTCTGATCCACTAATTTTGTCACTTGG